ACAATAGGAGTTAAATTTAATTTTTTGCAAGTGCTTTAAATTGAAACTCTTTAATGTCATCAACTTGGTGTTTTGCACAGTCTCAGGACACATCAAAGATCCACGTCTCCCTCTCTCCTTCAAATGCACGTTGACTGAGATGTTCTGAAGAGATATCATGATTTCCTGGCAATATTCTAGTAATTTTATTGGTTTCCTGGGTGGATTTGGCTTCAATAATCTTGGGCAAACTACCTAAAAGTGGGGATAAATTTCACGCCTCAAAATCCCTATTTGTTTCTGATTTCCTTTCCTATACATTTCAACGTATGACTTCAGTGCATCAGACAAATTTTGGAGTATGACCTGCCTGTTCACCATTTCCCATAGATATTAAGGGATTGGCACTGTAATATATCTCATAGGAAGGTTATTTATGTCTTGCATATATATGAAATTTAAGGGAAGTTGCATAGAATAGAACTTACGAGAATTGAGAAATGTATGGTTCATCTTTATGTTGTACTTTTTATGCAAAAACTAATTCATCTATTTCACATTGCCCTTTGTAGGTTGTGAAAGTATATGTATCTGTTTTTGGCGATGAAAGAGGAAAAGAAGTAGCACTGGCTGGTTTGAAGTCAAAAGCAAAGTACGTTCGAAGTAAACTAGGGAAACGTATGAAGTTGCGGCTGACTCCTGAGATTCGTTTCATAGAAGATGAGTCTCTAGAACGAGGAAGCAGGGTCAGAATTTATCTTAATTTTACTTTCCCAATTTCATAAGTATTTCTGAGAATATGTTTTACTTCATTCCTTGTCACTGTTTTTCTTAAAGCTGCTTTATCTTGCAGTTCCCTTTCAGGTTCTTTCTTCAAATTTAAGTTCTCTTCTCTCCACTTGCACATTTGGACTGATCTACCTTTGTCTTTGATTTAACCAGCTTACATTTTTTGTTAAGATTGACAAATTGTGCTGACTTGATGTTATATGATAAAGGTTCTTTATTCATCTAGTTATAAAATAACAGCATATTGATGTGCATAGATATCAGTAGCAGCAAAGGCATTTTTCGTTTTTATCAAATGTCTTCTAAAAATAATTCTAACACTTCTCTGGCATGATTCTGAAATCCCTCTGAAACTGGTACTAGGTGATGTACAAAATTTGAATAATGTTCTTAATATAGAACAAAGGAAAGTTTCATATCAATCAGATTTTATTTTTATTACATTCTAGATAATAGATTTTGTAGATGGACGTGTGTTATGAATAGATTTCTATGGATTTGTCTATAGATTCACCAGTAATTATGATTAAAGTACTAATAGCGTGGTTGTTGTAGACCTTTAACATTTATCTGTTTCTAGAAACCTAGACTGTATATTCAAACTTCATCAGTTGCTTTGTCCTCATTTATTTCCCGTGTTCTATTTTTAGCTTTTCATGTTTTCTCAGATTCATATACTGTCTTGTCGACGTCTAAAGTCCAAACGTATGCTCCATGTGTCCACTGTGATTGCTATATTTTCCAAGAAAACTAGACACTGCTAACCTTTATTGTTTATCAGCTGTTGCTCCATCATCCTCTCTTTTCTTGTTTTGATTTTGTACTTTTTCAAACTTTTGACAGATTCATATTATGTCTTGTCCATAAAATTCATATTTTCCTCCAATTTTTGTTAAAGAAATTGTTTGTCTGCAATATCTCGTGTTTTATTCTGGCATTCCTGGCAGATAGTATTATGCTGTTGTTTAGCGATGCCCAAGTTACGCAGTTTACATAAACATTTATGCAATCTCTCACGTGCAGCTGCACGTGCACACACACTGTCTCCAGGTTCTTTGTGATTGTCCTTAATTTGGATTCTAAAAATACTGAGATTCAATCTCAACTTTGCCGACCTAAATGCAAATTTTCACTTGCCATGTCTCCAAGAACCTACAATTTTGCAAGTTGATTGACATTTGAATTTCTGAGAATATGTTTTACTTCATTCCTTGTCACTGTTTTACTTAAAGCTGCTTTATCTTGCAGTTCCCTTTCAGGTTCTTTCTTCAAATTTAAGTTCTCTTCTCTCCACTTGCACATTTGGACTGATCTACCTTTGTCTTTGATTTAACCAGCTTACATTTTTTGTGTTAAGATTGACAAATTGTGCTGACTTGATGCCCTCTAAACTGGTACTAGGTGATGTACAAAATTTGAATAATGTTCTTAATATAGAACAAAGGAAAGTTTCATATCAATCAAATTTTATTTTTATTACATTCTAGATAATAGATTTTGTAGATGGACGTGTGTATATGAATAGATTTCTATGGATTTGTCTATAGATTCACCAGTAATTATGATTAAAGTACTAATAGCGTGGTTGTTGTAGACCTTAAACATTTATCTGTTTCTAGAAACCTAGACTGTATATTCAAACTTCATCAGTTGCTTTGTCCTCATTTATTTCCCGTGTTCTATTTTTAGCTTTTCGTGTTTTCTCAGATTTATATACTGTCTTGTCGACGTCTAAAGTCCAAACGTATGCTTCATGTGTCCACTGTGATGGCTATATTTTCCAAGAAAACTAGACACTGCTAACCTTTATTGTTTATCAGCTGTTGCTCCATCATCCTCTGTTTTCTTGTTTTGATTTTGTACTTTTTCAAACTTTTGACAGATTCATATTATGTCTTGTCCATAAAATTCATATTTTCCTCCAATTTTTGTTAAAGAAATTGTTTGTCTGCAATATCTCGTGTCTTATTCTGGTGTTCCTGGCAGATAGTATTATGCTGTTGTTTAGCGATACCCAAGTTACGCAGTTTACATTTAAGCAATCTCTCACGTGCAGCTGCACGTGCACACACACTGTCTCCGGGTTCTTTGTGATTGTCCTTAATTTGGATTCTAAAAATACTGAGACTCAATCTCAACTTTGCCGACCTAAATGCAAATTTTCACTTGCCATGTCTCCAAGAACCTACAATTTTGCAAGTTGATTGACATTGCACTTTGCTTATTAATCCATGTGATTTGTAAACTTTTGCCAACTGTGGAAAGAGTAGTGCACTGGGGATTTATTTGTCACTGTACTTTGAGAAATCCAAGACGTGGTGAATTCTTTGTTTAAGTAGCTTCTTGCATGGCATCCAAAACTAAATCAGAATCAGTGGAGCGTTTTTATTCCTTAACTATATGCATGCCTTGTTTTTCTCGTATTAACTATAGAATAAAATACCTTTTTAGGTACTTGCTATATTAGATAGTATAAAGGATGAAAATGATAAGAAAGCTACAGAAGGTCAAGCTGAGGATCTGCAGGATTCATCCAGTCTAAGCAATGATGAGTGGGAGGGTGATGACCCTGATGATGAAGGCATCATTTATGTAAAGTAATTTTGTGCAGTTTCTCAGAACTGGTACGAGTTTGAGATCAAGCATATTTGCTTCTTCACGGGTGAGTTATCTACACGCTAAAGTTTATCTATGGTTTACAGTGGCTAAAGCCTTATCTCATGATAGTTATTCGCGTACATATTTTTGTTCCATCGCAGATTGTCATGTCCTAGTAACTTTGTTGATATAAAGTCACGGACCAGATCTGGGAATACTTCAGTATTTTTTGAAGTAGGGACTGTATGCATGAATGTAAACTCGTATGTTCTTGGCACTAAAATGGATTATTGTCTGGGAAGGGAGAGAACAATTGAAATGAGGCCTTTTTTAAAATGGGGGTTTATAGCAGTGTTTTAAAAGGCGTAATGCGTGCAGGTTAAGTTATGGGCTAAGCAAGCTTATGCGAGGCAGGCATAAAAAAATGTTTACTTATTTTAATATTATTTTACTTTTTAATCAATCAAAAAATTATTTAATAATTAAAAATAATACATGTCAAACATCTAAAATAAATTTATAAGAACTTTATATATTTTTTCAAAGTTTCCAACAAAAAGATAGTTTCAAATGTAAATACTAAATATTAAATAGATAGGAATTTTTGAAAGTTTTCCCCTGTAAAGGATTGTTTTGAATTTATGGTGGATAAAGTAAGGAAATCAACTTTAAAGTTTTAACTTGAATTGTAAAAAATTAAAAAAGATTAAAAATTTTAAAAAAGATAATAATGCACGCATTAGCGGTCAACAATTGCTAAATAAGGCATCAAGCTACTTGGCTTGGCGTTTCCGCTGAGCATTGAGCCTAGGCAACGCCTTGGCGCCGTCTAGGTACACCTTTTAAAACACTGGTTTATAGGTATCACACATTTTTTAAGTGCATCGCATTTTAATTGTATTGACTATTGAAGGTACCTAAATTTTATTTATTGTTAGACTTATGTCCTCGGCTCTCTTTTTATCTTATTTCTATACCTTTCATTAATTTGGCCTTCGTATCTTGAAATAAGCAAAAAATAACATATATCAAGTGTGATTTAGTAATTGCCATTTATTTTAAGCATGCTGGCAGATTATTAGGACGAAAATCGTCGTTAGGTACAATATACTAATTAATTGATGGTTGACGATCAAATTACGATGAAATAAAGTTGGGGACATAAGTGGGACAATAAGTAAATGTTAATACATCTTAAAAAAACTTTGATGTGAACATAATTAACCGTTTAAGATTAGGTGAACACGCCTTTTTTGGTCAAAATCCCATTATACCCTTATTCCTTCCACACTCGTTCTTCCCACTTCACGTCACTCCATTTGGGTTCACCAGAGAGCATAATGAGGATTACTACTATTTGGAGCTTTGGGGGAAGGATCCTGTGATTACTTCTCTAACTCGACAGCTTTCGAAATAGTATCGATGATGTAAACAAGTTAATGCTGTGGCCAAAAGAAGCTCGACAGCTTTCTAAATATTAATAATGGTGTGAATAAATTAACGCTGCTTAATGATAAATACTACTTTCCGAATGCTAGTGATATTTGAATGCTTTCACGGTTTTTATTGCCTTTGGTGGTTTAATGCTTGAATAGCATTCATTTGCCTTTCATTTTGCAGGGTTGAAGCTTATCATCATTTGTTCCTTTAAAGCATCTCCTTCAACCTGTTCGAGCAATGGAGATTTAACGGAGTTCTCATCTTATTTGATCCATCCAGACCGGATGCAAGAAGAAACCTTTGGATATATAGGTAGTTCATTTTCCTTGCAAAGCAGAAAACCCTTTGTAAAATGTGCTCTCTCTCTGAACAAATAATTATTACCGAGAATTGCTCGTAAAAGTTTAAATCATTCAACATCCAGTAATATTCCATACGTGCCTTGATTTAATGCTATGTTAGGCCTCAAATATTTGTAACTGAAGGCTTTTTTATTTCATTACTGATGGACAAATATTCTTTTATCGACATTATCAATTATAATGTGAAAATTGTCGAAGGCAAAGGGCAAAAAGACTGATTGAAGTCGCAATTCTCAACAAAATTGAACAGTTTCGAATAGAACAATATGGTCCTGCGGATCAGGCAAGAGTGAAATGCCCTTTTTTTCATTTATTATTTCTACTTTCTGACAACAAAACACCATAATGCTCTTCCTTTAGTGATGCTCTTTGGCTTCAGCTTTCTTATGAGACTTGGCCTTAGCCTGTAAAAATGACAAAAAAAGGTAACAGATAAGTATTCTCTGCACTACTACATAAGAATGTCAGCGCACTACAGAGACGTGAAGGGAAAGGAAAATATCTTCAAATATTTGTCTCGACTCACGAAATACAATCCCAATAAAACTATCGAGT